TACTATGGAAGTAATAGTAACCGTAACATTTAAAATCAAGATGGGTTAAGGTATCTGAATGTGCTTTGCGACCTCCAAAACAAATATAAGAGATGATATTTAGGAAATTGTGTCTATGTTGCTCAAATATGCTCAATGACTGATATTTTAGGGTTTAAAGACATTACTCTGATCTCACTGATATTTTTAATCCAATGAAGCAGGCAGTCTAAATTGTAAGACAGTATATTCTCTTTGGAGACTATAATAAAGCAATTTTTATTGTGAATGGAATGAAAACAAGGAAAGAAAATACCAGTAAGCTACAGGCACATAAACAAAACCCTTGCTGACCAGTGTTCTAGGAGAATACAACCTGCAATACTTCATTTCCTCCCAATTTTTTAATCTTTAAGAGATTCCCATAATCATTAAGTATCATCTCAAAATGCCTTTGTATTGCTGAAAGCAGATAATAGGCTTATAAAGCCAATGCTCCATTTTCTGACAATCTAAATTAAACCCTAAGATTTATCATTCTACAATATATGAACACATACTTCTGTCTGCAAAAACTTGTCTGTCACACTAAGATGAATCAAAATTTTAAAAAGAATAATTTCTTATTATAATTTGTATATATGTAAATGGTGGTATAATACTTCCTTTTTTATTGTGAAAATAATAAATATTTAATGTCCTCTCAAAGGAAAAGTTTGTTTTTAACAAGCCTAACATAGAGTCTCACCATCCAGAGAAAACACAACATTTTGTTATATTATTTATAGTTCTATTTTCCCTATCCCTACATGTACACATCTCACGAATATTTAACAAAATTTGAAATACTCTGTTTAGGTCATTTTGTTAAATCTATATGCTTCAAAACTTCAAGTAGCAACACAGCATTATTTGTCTAAAACATGATGAAACAGAAACATATAAACCCTTATCTTCAACCATAGGTATAGGGAAAGTTCTCACACATAGCCATTATTAATGAGCAGACTGTAGAAATGCTAATTTGAGTAATGGTTATAATTAAGTTTACAATTATATAAATACTAAACCTCTACTGGGACAATGCAAAGAGGCTTAATACATGATCTTGTGATGATAAGAGCCAAGCCTCAAAAATCTATCCCTAACCCTACTACACTGAGGCAAAACACTAAGGGCATGCAACAGAACAGCAAGGGGAGCAGAGCAAGGAAGTAGGAATACCAAAAATAGACTTAGGGACCAGGGCATGGCACC